GTCGCGCCATGAGGAAGGCTGAGAGCCACTGCTTTAGAGGCCATTGAAGGGTGGTGCCTCATGACATACACATTCAGACTCCCAGAGCTAAAAGCTGCCCACCGGCTGGCTGTGTGTGTGCCGCACACGGGTGTGCTCCATCACCACCCCCACTCCGCAGACAGGGGGCACCCCAAGGATGCCTCTCAAGATCGAACTCAGGGAGCCGACAGCACAACAGGGCCCAAGGGACAGTTTACCATCAAGCTAGCCAGCCTCCGCGCTCCTCCCTTGAAGGAGGACCCTGCTACAGCAGCGAAGGTCTATACTTTTAGTCTTTCTTCTAGCCTTCCCCAAAGGGACCTGCGGCCTTTCACAAGAGTAACTGTACATTGGGGGAAAGGAAATAATCAAACTTTTCAGGGATTACTGCACACTGGCTCGGAACTGACACTGGTTCCAGGAGACCCAAAGTGTTTCGAAGCCCCAATTAGAGTGGGGGCTTATGGAGGTCAAGTTATCAATGAGGTTTTAGCTCAGGTACGCCTCACTGTGGGTCCAGTGGGCCCCCAGACCCATCCTGTGGTTATTTCCCCATTTCCAGAAGGCATCATTGGAATAGACGTACTTAGTAACTGGCAGAACCCCCATACTGGATCCATGAAATGTGGAATAAGGGCTATCATGGTAGGAAAGGCCAAGCGGACACCATTAAAACTGCCATTGCCTAGGAAAATAGGACTAATAGTGTCTCACAACTCTCTCTTTCCTAAGTTGGTATTCACAATGAGGATGAGTTTTCCCACAGAAGGTCAGGAAAATAGTCTAGGCTTCAGGCATCACCACACTTGGTCCACCCCGACATGGCCCCTTTCCTCAGCAGTCGTCTGATTGCCGGCTCTCCACGGCATTTCCACCCAAACCTCCTAAAAACTCACAGCAGCGCACGGTGTTTAAAATAATCTCGTTTTAAAGATTTTTAAAGTCTAAAAAGCAGTCTCTCTCACACATGCACACATATTCCAAATTTCTGTATGTCCTGGAATCCATGCTGAGACACAGATGGGGCCCTTGAGAAGGCCAGCTGACGTGGAGCACACGTCAGCTGTGTGTCAGCCTTTAACAAGAGCGACCCGGGATTGTGTGGTCAGCTCTGAGATGGCGGAGCGGGGACTGCACCTGCGGACTGGGTGAGTGTCTGGGAGTTTCAGGGGTGATTGTCTGGGTGGGATTCCTGGGGGCCCAGAGCCCTCTGTGGCACTCATGAGCAGTGGGGTGCTGTCCCCTCTGCGTGCACATCCCCACTTCAGCGTCTGCAGTGGACCCCTCCTCCCCCTGAAGTTGGGCTCATACCTGTGATGTCATATCGACTCTTGGGGTCGCTGCTCTTGGGCACGGTGACCTCAGCCACCTCATGCCCTGTCAAAGGACCATACTGCAGCTTGTAGTAATCCACCTCGGTCGGGGGGTTCTCCCACTCTACATCGAGGGAGTTCTCCGTCTCCTCTGTCACCCAGGCAGCGCCAACCACAGCACGGTCTAGGTGTGCAAGAGCAAGAAGTGAGAACAGACATTCTGGTAGACAGTGGATTACCAAGCCAGCTCCCTTCTGGGTACCCAGCCACCTGGCTTCAGCCTCAAGCCATAGTCCTCAGCGTGGGACTCAAAACTAAGTCAAACTCATGACCAGGTCATTCCTGACTCCTGGCAACCCTACAGGTCAGGGGAGAACTGGGTTCCTCTGGGTTTCCAAGGCTGTAGATCTGTATCGGAGCAGACAAGCTAGTCGTGCTGAGCTGCTGAGCTTGTGGTGAGCAAGCCAACTGTGAACCCATTCTGCCACCAGGGCTCCGACATGCGTCTTCGAGCTACCAAAGTGGCAGCTAATGTTTCACGTTGTCCTTTGCGGGCAAGATCTCCTCAAGAAGGCCACACTCCCCAGGCTACGCCAGGCAGCAGGGTCATCACACTG